GTAGACCGATTGATATGACGACGTTGTGGTGCCAACAGGAGACGTGCGACATGTTATCGATGGTGAGGTGTGTTGAGGCGAGGATGGTTTTCGACCGGTCGCGTACAAACCGACTCGATCATATCCATGCGAGTTGAACTGGGGAACAGCCGGTGGTGGTGAGAGTCAGTCGGGTAGGTAGTGGGAGTGTGAGTGTGAGTCATGTTGCACAGTGTGGTGTAGTGTGTGGTCGGTGAGCTGGCGTGTGTGTAAAAGCGACACTCGACGGGGATGGGATTCGAACCCACGCGGGGAAACCCCAATGGATTAGCAGTCCATCGCCTTAACCACTCGGCCACCCCGTCCTGGAGGCATGCCACCCTTCGACACCGCTACTACAAACACAAACGCCCACTACTACCGACACACAGAAACTCACACTACACACACACACACACACACACACATCCTATCGCTGATACAAGTCAACACCAACGACACATTGCACCCATCTCTTCAGCAAAATACAGCTCAATTCTCTAGCCAATCCATACTCCATACATTCTCCAAACCGAACACTACATAAACTCTCTCTCTTTCACACATTTTCTTTGCCTAACATATTCTATGTTTTATTTCAAAACATCGTTACAATTTGGTCTTTGTATGGGAAAAAGAACGATGAAAATCTCTACACAGTTTTTTTGTTGGACAGTGTTTTTATTCATTTGTTTCTTCTTCCTATTTTATATTTTAACCTCTGTTCATATCTCTTTTCAGCTTTTATTATGTAATTTTGATTGGAAACGTATGAATTTGTTACTTAATTTTATTGCATGTTGCCGGACTATTGACAGTGAGGTCGTGTTTGACTAAGCTCAAGGTCACGGCGTGATTAAGTGTGACTGTTAACTCTTTGACTGTCTGCTTGGGAGGATTTCTGGTATCCCTGCAGATAAATATTTTGATCCCGTTTGTTGGGAATATATTTGTTGATTCTCAGGTATCAAATCCTTTGGTGTTGACTGTTTCTTTTATATTTTAGCGCACTACTTCGCGTTAGAGAAACTTCTGACTGTATAGCACAGGCTGTACTGTTTGAGGTATTTTGTATTTTTATATAATTTGTTCTATTTCTTAAATTAGAACCGTATAAATTGAGCACAGAATTTGTGTTTTGATATAATTTAATACGAGTGTATCAAAAACGCTTGGCGTGCTATACGGAAGATCGTAGTCTGACCTATTCGAATACTTTTTGGTTCGTCAGTCTTGCGTTCAGCCCGAATACTGGTAGTTCGGTCGTTACAGTCTTGATACCTTTTCACATTCTCTGGAAAACTTTTACCAACACAATCAACTAAAGTGGAACATACAACCATTTTAAATTCAACTTATCCGTCACTGCCATCATTTCTTTATAAGTCGAGTCCAGCAAATGACTATAAGAGCCACATCATGAACTTTTAAACCAACAAAATTGCCCACTGTCGCTTGCACTTTAGTACTTATTAACAGTTAAGAGTTATGGGTGAGTAGATTTCAAAACCATAGTTACTAAAACGCAAAAAATCGGATGGAAGATTTGAGACAAAACTCTTTGATTTCCTAGTGTCATAGGGTAGCTTATTACAATTCATGCCAGCTTGTGATTAAAAATCGGTGGGAAAATGCTGTACGAAGAGGTTCATATGTGATTCAAAACTTAGCGAAAGGTAAAGTCTCTCCACTGAGGAACTCTTCTGATTCACCATAAGTTACAGAGGAAGTTTCACTGACATCGAGCAAGCGATCTTCTTAAATCCAAAAAGGAAACGACAATCCATGGAATGGACGAGATGCCACCTGTAGATTAGCAGACCTTCAAGAACCAACCTGTATGGTTTTAAGCTGTGTATGAGCTAGTAGGTGATCGTCAGAATGAAGCTTACGAACACAGTATGTCACAGTGGCATTGGCTATCACCCAGCAGATGCCTCCATGCTGCCACGATGACTAGCATGACTAAGCTACCTCTTCTGTCACACAGAACGACCATTAAGTTCCCACGTCTGATATGTGTAAACTTCAAAAACTGAGAACACTTAAGCGAGGCTCTTCGTGCTTCGGATATCTTGAAAAACAATCCCTCCAGTCACATAATATGTCGTGAAGCCGACCAAGCTCGGTAAGCCAACAGCAGAAAAATCCGATCAAACGCACATAAGCGTCAATCGGCCTTGATCAACAATCCGCTGTATAGAAAATGGAGACCACAGTCTCGGTCATGGAACACACAATACAGTAGAAAAACCTACAATGGCCAGTTCACAAGAAACTGATTAACACACTCTAAACAACAATCTGTCTAACGACCGGAAGACGACTCGTGCTGTAGAGAAGCACCAGATGGGAATTGAAAATCCTTGGTTATGAGGGGTACGGAACGCTTGTTACGGGCCAAACGGAAATCCTGACACAAGTGTAAGGTCCCCTTGACAGAATCTGATCTCAACTCTTACTCGGGCATTTAGAATCAGATGTTGTAGTGTCTTTTATTATGTTAAGCCCACATACCTTATTCTAGCTTTCAGACAGCACTGTCTATTCAATCTACTTGAGTCATTTTGACCTTGCTAATTATTCGCTTATCAATCTTCACTGTTTTAATATGAGCGAATATATGTGTGTACACTTCTTATCCCATTACGCATCACATGTCTGTAACCTATTTTTGTGTGCCTATAAATATTGATTAACGCTTGGCTAAATGGGGAGTTGGCTTACCCGCCACATCCACTGCGCGTTGTTTCTCTTCTCTTTATTCCATTCGCTTCATATACAAAATATATGTATTTAAAATTCCATTTTTGTTATTTGACTTATTTAATTCCGTTATTGACTAACGCTATTTAAGTCCATGATTATATACGAGGACAGGCGACATATATATTTCAATAACAAACATTCATACGATATACTCGGAGTCAGATCTCAGGCCACTAAAATGTGATGCCCAAGTCTGAGGCAATATATGTTTTCAAGCTAAACTAGCAACGGAAGTCCAAGATAACCCCAAATATCTCTGCTGATTCGTGAGCAGGGAAAAGCCCGCAAATCAGGGGGTCAGCATCTTAAAAGGGCCAAGTCGCAAAGACCTCACCAACTTGGCGATGGTAGAAATCTTTAATGCCAACTCCGTAGATCAATTAAACCAGGGGTCTACATGTATAGTTCCAATCTATAGTCTGAGAGATTCATTTAGCTCTTGGGAATAAACTCTCTGCCCCCAGAAAAGGCAACAGGACGCTATAACATCCGGTCTAAAATCTTGAAAAAGTGCGCGAAATCCATTGGTACATGGAAATATGACCTGTTCAGCCAGTCACAGGAGTCACACCAACTGCCAAGTGAACGGAAGCGGGCTACTTTCCCTCCCATCTTAAAAAATGATTTAGGAAAGATTTAGCCTGTCACAGACCAGTCGCTTAACTCCGAATACTGTCGACGGTAACGGAACAGCTGCTTGATGAATAAATTAAGGAACCCATGGGCAAAAGTAATATTCTTCATGAAGTCCAACATATGTTCCAGGGAGGTTCAGTCTACATGAGTTATAAGATCTCAATATCAGGAGTTTCACATGGAATATTCTTAAGTCAACTACTGTTCTTGGTCTTTATTAAAGACCTATTAGATAAAATTAGCTCGGTGACACTAGTTTATATAGATGACTCAAAGATCTGGAGGTCCACAAATAGCTTCAAGGACTCACTTGGGCTCCAAGTGGACTTTTTGAAAACAAAAAAAATTGTGCGATAAATAATGGGTTGAACACAACCTTTCAAAATATCACGTCATGAACTTTCTACATCATTTGATACAAAATACTTACACGTTCTATGGAAATCCGCCCACAATTTTCTCTACAGAGTGTGATGTCGAGCCCCTAACCACGGAAAGTCTATACACCAAATCAAATGGCAAAGGGTATACAGCCAAAGCAAGCTCAACTATCCACTTTAAGAGAAGATAACTTGAAGCAATCACTCCGGAGTTGTGTCCTAACACTTTAAGATGTACGCACGGATCCACTTCGTTGAGCCCTCTCTCTTCAAAAGAGATATGAATCTCTTGAACAAAGTACAAAGGTAGGCAACCAAGTGAATAACAGTTCCAAAACACAAATCTTACGAGAAAAGTCACCAACTTGAGATTATTCTAGTTGAGCTATAGGCGAATAAGAGGTAATTTGATATTGGCACACGACATAGCGCCAGAACATGATCATCACGCTTCTCCAGGCAACCCTCGAAGGAGTGTACATGGAAGAGCGAACACCCATGAGGATGCCACAGGTATTCGGAGTTTGACAACGCTTTAACCAGTAACACCTTCTAATATGAAGCGTACCCACCAAGTGAAATCAAAGGACAGAGGCGAGGACATCGAAGATATATTTGATAAGCTATCAATATAACGAGGATCGTCTAATCTAATCTGGCTAGCGAATGCAGTAGATGTTGAGCACGGCGTTCCCACACGTGATCTGGTGGGGACGAATGACCGGGCGCCTTCAATTAGATGAGTCCATTAAAACTGTGGTCAGCATCCAACGTCGAAAACTTACAGAGCTATTTATTTTGCGGATTTATTTACCGCTACACCCAGTTTCGCTCCCCCACTTTCTCATCACGAGTTGACCCCATTTGGAATGCTCTCCCAGCCGAAGTGGCTACAGCCCTTCAGTGTATAGCTTTTAGCCGAACTCATACCTGGTAGTGGGTTATATGCTAGTATCTTTACTGTCCTGAGTGAAACGCACTCACTCAACCACAAGATATTCAAATCCACAAATAACTACCACACTGACAAAAATCCATGTGATTGAGTAACTGAACTACCACCCATTAGACATTGAAAAATACCCAGAGCCGTACTGAAACAAGAAGAAGCAAGAGCAAAGAAATCCACTTTTTTGCAAGCTCGAGAAAATGGTACTGAACATTGAAATTGGACCGTTCAGGTGAGGTGGAACATACAATCCAGTCGGTACTGTGTTGTTTTGTTACGTTTGTGTTTTTGCTGTTTTGTGGTCTATAGTTTTGTCTGTACGATGAATTTTATGGTAAATAACTGATAACACACCGTCTTTGTTTTCATTCGTTTTTCACGTATAATGTTTTATCTGAAAGTTAGGACGGTTTTATATCCGCCTTAGTTTGTACGAATATAGTTGTGTTCCTGTGTGTATTCTTGTTGTAGTGTTGGCACTAAGAGAAAGTATCTTCAAAAGTACACTTAATGCTGCTTAAAGCCTCTGAGTTTGATGATCGGGTAACCAAATATCACATTGGTCCCATATGGGACCATATGGAACAACATATGTTGTTCGTGTGCACTTCTGTTGTTAGGTTTGCGATGTGTTCATGTTTAGATACTCAAAGGATATAACTATATGTAAAGGCTTCGCGCTCCCTACACTCATCAGTGTACATTGTTATCCCGGATATGACATACTGTTGTATAACTGGTACTGGAACTCATTTCGTTGGTTTTGTATAATATATTTTTACTCTAAACTGACTGCTTGCTGATTGGCTATATTATCAAGGTCACTTAAGATTTGTTCAAAGGTCGTCTATGAATTAGAGTCTCGCCGGACCACCTTTTTCCAGTGTTTTATCTGAAACTCCGAATAGCTACGATTTAACCAATAAAAATGTACTTGCCGAGTCTAAGACGACACTCTTTATCCCATTGTACTGCTCTGCAAGCAAGAGTTACATCGATTGGAACTAATATTTCAACTTTAGGATACATTTGATCCTAAAAGCATTTTTGAGCGCACTTCTCAACAGTAGTCCTATCACTCTACCAACGCAGCTATGCTTATGTGTGCACTTGTTGTGTCAGTGGCTACTTGTGCTAATGCTAGCCGTCCAATTATCAAAACCATTATCTGTTGCAGTTTCGACTTTAATCGTGCAAGAAAGTGCTATTTCTTAATAGGCATTTTTGTTCAGCATGTAGTGAACCGTAAAACAATACCTTCTCTGGGCTGCATATATCTTCACTGTATTCGCCGTTCAGAGTTACATAATATGCTCCTTCTAATCGTTCGAGACTCAGTAATGTACGACCATATCATCATCCAAATTATCCTAAATACAAAATCTAATAAAGAAACATGGCGTCTAATTAGAGGCTATCGGTAATTCTGTTTTAGAAACCGCTCATAGACTTGACAATTTCTGTGTTTCCATTATTCGTTTTTATTCATATCAAGACCATTTGTTTAATTTACATTTATTGGTTGGTTTCCGTGTAAGTTCAGTGCAAAGCTCAGATGTATTATTTTGCAGCATCAAATCTGAAGATTCTCAGATCCTTCTAGTTTAAAAAGCTCGATTTTCAGGACGAGCAAGCGTTGTATTGATAAAGCTGTAGTATACTGCCAGAAAACCGCGAGATCTCGAGCCGTCTAACCAATCAGGAAACCGAGATGATGTATGTAGTTTGTTATGCTAAAATATTCGCTTTAGGGTCTTCGCATCATAACTGCTGTCAGTTCTCGATCGAAACCCTAACTGAAATTCTTAATACTAATTTACAGAGCTTTGCACATTTACTATTAGCTTGGTTGTATAGAACAGTTTTATTCTACTTATTATCACCAGCAACCTTATTTTAATACTCACTATGAATTGTACGAAATGGTATGTCCACATGTTGGCGGCAACATGAATAAAAAGTGTTGGCTGTTGAAATCAGTTTACTTAGACTTAGTGTAAGGTAGAAAGATGTGTACCAATGTGGGCAGCTCATGTCATTAGTCGTTTAAATAGGTCTAATAGACACCTCTACCCTACGAGCAACTATACCTTACCTTTTTGTTGTAAAATATCTGCGAGGTGTTTTCCTACATATTAGGAACAATTCAGTAAGTAGTGATATTCAGAAATACCAGCTATAGTGTCTTGTGTACAATTTGCCCAGGTCAATTCAGAGGTATTCATAATGTATCTCAGTTTACGAATCCGCTTCACCTATTTCAGTTTAAGCAAACGGATAATAACACCATGCTTTGAACCAAAGTACTGTTTAAATCTACATACATAGGTTTGTGTTTCATAAAACAAGTTACATTTGTAGCGGTTGATTACTGATCAAGAAGCTAAAGATGTTATTCATTCCGCTAAATATTTCCTAACACATATGACTAAGGGTTTGCAAATTTTCATTGTCGTTGATAAAAATGCTCAAAATATCAAATGCCTCCATATCACATGTCTTGGATAGATGTTTACTTGGTAAAGAACGATACGATAGGTTCCTGAATTTAATTGTCACCTGGTCTGAAAGTGCTATTGATATTAATCTTATTATTTAGTCGATATATACACCGACCAGATATACACGCTTCTGTACACTTATTCTGAATATCGTTTTAGTATTTATACTGAGTTTAGACTATTTATCTCCGATTTTATCGAATCAAGTTGAAGTACATTGGTTGAGGAGATATGAACAATTACGTGACAGTAGGAAAGTTCATTGAAGTACAGTTATACACAGCAGTAATTTTAAAACCGTCTGTACTCTTTGAAAAAAATGTAATGAGACAAGGTTGACTATCAAATGTGAATCCACACTTTGCAACTACTTTCATTTCTCCGCTTGTTTATTCATTCCTCCCTTGTAAAGTTAGCTAGTAACACTAGTAATTATCTATGAATGAGTTGTATTTCGTTCAGTATAAATCATGCGTGTTTGGCAATGTGCTTTTGTGAGAGAATGATATGGGACCTTTAGGGCTCCAGTCTTAAAAAAATTAGAATGACATATTACTATCTTTTCTCGCCTTGTTTAAATGGTTTCAAAATGTTAATTACTATATTTCCAAATTCTTCCCATAGCATGTTGACTAGTGCCCTGGACTCATAAATTCCTAGTGAAGCGGGACCTATTTCATATCAGTGAACGTTGTGGGTGAATGTTTCCAGTCATCTCAGATGTGCATGCGAGTTTCTCCAACTGATTCCGGTAACAGCGGAATTTTATTCGTTGGATTCAATCAAGATTATAGTAAATACTTTTTTTATATAAATCCTATATTCATTTTGAGATAATATGAAGTACTCAGTGGAAATGTTATAATTTGCTCATGTTTTTAACAATACTTGAGTCAAGTGTTTCTGTTTTTTATTACTTCCCTATAATTCAACTACTTCAACAACGTAGCCTTATTTGAAGTTGTTTACAAGTCTTAAGTAGACTAGTAAATAAGTGAACTTAAAGAATTGGGAGATAAAGTATCATGTGATGTTTCTGTTCTTTGTAGCAGTCTAAAAAGAATTATGAGAAAAAAGACAAAAGTTAACAAAGGTTATTAAATCACTTGGTATTGACAACTAATGCGTTTATGGAAAAAATATAGGGTTAATAGATCTACATTTTCATGATAGATTTTAATCCGTCTATTTTGGCTTCTACAAGCATCTCACGAACTATGATTGTTGTAAATCTGTTTCTCAGCTCAACTCGAACCAACATTCCCCCGAATGCCCTGGTACGGCCGAGGGTGGGGATAGTTAATTCTCCCTCTCGAAATGCTCTCACATGGCCACACGTATCTAACCACTGTCAGGGAAGTCCTACTCACTGTCTTCTTGAGAACGGGGGTGTTGTTTGCGAAATTAAGAGGACGAAAAGAGAATGTCCGGCGCTTTAACTGGGTTGGTGGGTGTGGAGGATTCACCTAGAGGAGTTGGACAACCCTGATTCTAAACCAGCAGTGCACATGGCCTCCAGTATCACGAAGGAATAAATGGCGTATGAACCAATCGTTGGTCACTGACCACCATGGAACTGCATCTCCTGATGTTGCTCCACTGCCTTGCGGATCAGACCTTTAGGTCGAAGGCTGCGGGTGTGGCCCTCTAAGAAAACCACCTGCTTCAGTTCGGGCACCCAGACAGTATCACAGCCCACACACAAACCAAGTGACTTGTGTGGCGCATATGTATTCGGTACCCCTTCATACCAATATTTGTGTTCAAATAAATAAAAATGAACCAACACTCACTATTTTGTTGATTCGAGTTATATTTTGGCGTGAGCGCTAAGTTTCTGAAACGTTCTTCCATCATCTCATGTAGAATATAGGCCCATTGTCTAACTCCATAATGAATCACAAAGGAAAGATGAATGAGCCATGAACATGATTTCATAAGCTGTATTTAAACCAACCATATTTGGGCGATGGCGGTAATAAAAAGTCGAATTTAGAATGTTAGATAAATTTTTTTTAGGCACTCGTTTACTCAGATAAACATTAAGATGAGAGACGAAAAAACTAGATATGTCTACTCAGTTTAATCGAAACGTGATTGAATGTTTATACGCGTGAAATGTACGAACAAGCATATAGACACATGCGTACTATTCTACATACATCCTTGAAGTTACGTATATCAATGACAAAATAACTGAGAAGATTAGAATAACTCATCTGTCGAAAAGTAACGAAAAACCTCGTAGGCGTGTGACAATACTAATTGCTTCAAGGGTAATAAGTAGCTTGGATTGGATAACATATGCCCCAGCCATCATAAGACAACTGTGCATACAAAATTGAGATGTCTTGCTCAAAAGTTGTTATATTTTTCGATCTTCGGAGTTTAATACTGATACGCAAATCTTCCATAGGAAAGTATAAACCAGCTACTTGAGGGAGGAAGTTTTATTGACTAAAACCAAATCAAGAGTATATGTAGTCTCGTTCACAAATATACATCTATTTCCTTCGGAAAATAAAGCCATATTCTCAATCAAAGGCATGTTCTTGCTTAAAAACTGAAACCAAATATCGGCCAATGGCGAGCGCTTATTTTTAGCCTGTGTTTGATAGACCCAAGGTATTAATAGTTTGTTATCTATGTAAATGTCCAATAGTTAATGTTTAGAAACCGGCTAGTGTGTACGTTAGACATATCAACTTAATAGTAATGTAAATTAATACTGGAATCCTTCCTAAATACCTACTCTTTCGAATTCACAATAGTTTTCTATGTTTTAGTGCGGCGTAAAAGAAAACGAAGCTCATTGGTTCTGTCCGTGGAACCGTATACTATGATCACGTACTGCAAATATCATTTAGATGGTTGGAGGTAGTCGTCAGCAAACCCTGACTAACCCAGTTTTCGTGATGGTCGATTCTTTTCACCATGGCATATCCGCAATCCTGAAAGAATGGATGATCCCTGTTGAACATTAGTCAGCGATCAATCAGTGTAAATATCTCAAACTTGTGGGTGGTCAGTCACTACCCGAATAGCTCAGTGGTAAGGTCTCGAACTGTGAAACTGAGTGATGTGGGTCCGGGTCTCACAGAAAATATTATCGTTTTCCATAAGGTTACAGACAAGTCCTCGTGAATGGTGCTGAGCATTACCAAACCTTAGTCAAACAGGGCTTTCAAACATCAAAACATAGTCGCAGTATGTAATTATAATATACAATCCGATAAACAAAAGAATTGGGCTTAGCCTCTGAAATGAAAGTTTTAGATGGAGTGAGCTTTTAACTTCTAGGCCGGATGGGTCGACCATCAAGTTAGTGCTCTACAAGTGTGACACATTATTTATTTATTTTATTTGAACACATAAATATCGGTACAGGTGGGCACCAGATATATATGCGCCACACAAAACAATGAGAACAGGAAGAGGAAAAGAATGTAAGGTGCGTATAAGAAAAAGAGAAAACAATAACGACCACAGTTTAGTGTATGGAAGTGAAAGAACAATAATAATAATTGGGAAACCAAAAGGTACAACCAGAAAGAATTCTTTCAGTTAAGGAAGTTACAACCACTTTTTATGAAGAAAGTACAAGAAGGTTACAGCAGGATCGCCACTGGCTTCTATTCTGAGCCATATCTGATAACGTCTCTAGCCACTGTAGTGTGACACTATGTTATCTCTTAAGAAAACACATTTAGCATTCATGAATTTCATAAGATGGTCGCGCAACTTCATGGATTCATTAAAGTCAGATATTAACACTGTTGGATGACGCCTCAGTGGTCTAAAGGTTCAGCATTCGCGCGAGACCAAATGTCCTGGGTTCAGTTCCTGCGTGCGGGATCGGGGATTCACACTGCTGAGGAGTCCTTTATCAGTACAAAACAGTCGTCCAGTGCTTCCAGGTATTCATTGGTGTTCTGACATTGATAGGTTAATGAGCTCAAGGAAATTCAACAATCTCGACAACTCCATATTGAAAATTTCATAAGGATTGATTTTAGCTAGTTGATAACTTCTTGCTTTATCAGACAAGAATCAATGCTTGCTCATTTTGCTTACAAACTCATTCTAAGTGTTCAATCACTTTTTCCAAGCAACTTTTTAGAGGTCGGTTTCTTAAAAGAAATTCAGTTTATCAATTTATGTGTCCACACCTAGGTCCTGTATGTTTGTTAATTTATTACAGGTTGTTTTGCAGTTGGTATGCAAAATGGATTCAGAATTTTCAATTGCGATCCTTTAAAACAATTAGAACGTTATGGTAAGCATCTTAAATATGCGTGTGTACAACTATTTATGTATATATATATTCTTGTAGGTAAAGTAAATAGGCATGAATGTGTGAGAACTGAACCTGAGTCTGTTTGAATTATTAGGAGAAAAGGTTTTAGTGATGAGGTCATCTGATTGTGAAGTGTAGATTTTTATTAAAGATTTCATTTTGAATCCTAGTTTTTGCTAGAATTTTGTGTTTTCCATCTGCTATGTTAGGCTATGCTACATGAATATGTTCATTGCAGAAAGCTGCGGTTGGTTATTTAACTAAGATCATCCCGTGATGTTTAGTATGAAACAGAAAAGAATCTACATAAATCCCTATAGTAATATATACTTCTATTTAGGACTATACGTCCTACGTCGACATAATGTGCGAATACATTTACCAAAGCAAATTCAAGTTTATACTTGTTGGCACCCTAAATAAATCAATTCTGAGTTTTATTTCTTCCTTTGATATGTAGTCATCGTGAAAGTAGATTGCAAACAACTAGGTTGAACAAATCTAGTGTTAGATGAAGGTTTTTTTTCTATGTTCTCAGAAAGTGAACATATTTGTAAATGCCTCAGCTTGTTTCATAATTTCCGTGTAATTACAAGTTATATATATATATATATATATATATATATATATATATATATATATATATATATATTTCTTATTTATAATCATTCACTTTAAAAAGAATTCGATATTCGAGATGGTACCGGTGTTGGCTACATGGAAATGTTATTTCGTACAAATTTACTTGGTATATTGGGTGGCGGTAATCATTCACGTCTACCAAGTAATGTCGCTTGTTTATGGGATGGAATAAAGCAACAATTTGTCTTAGAAATCACCTGTGCTACAGATGTTCGTGGCATTCGTCTAAGACATGATCGGTAAGTGCAAATCTCCTTAGTTGGTCTTCCTACTTTTTTATTGTTATTAATATTTGTGTATAAAGGGGTACGGTTAGCTTATTCACTAATAAATACACGTTGTTTAAATTTTTGACTAGGTTTACACTAGACAAGTGTATATTTGTTTGTTTTTGGTATGACATATTTATGGACAAGGTGATGTTAAGTGGTTAGGAGTATAAATGTAGTCATCACTTATTGGTTGCTGACACTGTGGAAATACACTTTTTTTGAGGGATCTAAAAAAGGAAAGTGGTTTAGGCATGGTATTAACGACCTGAGCATGTGACCACATTACCCAAAACATAACTACCTAGGGATGATCATATACAGCTTTTTGTGAGTAGTATTGGTTATGTTAACTACATTCTTTAAATATCTTCGATTGCCTGGTGGACATTACACGTACGCCATAAGTAACGGAAGTTAGTTTCTTGTCAGTTGAAACTTATCAGTACGGTACATATGCAATGTTCGCGGAAGGGATGATGCTAGAATTGGGGATTCTGAACCTTGTAATTTAGTGACACAGACAGGGGTCTTCTGGTTACAACTGACATTTTTTCTGGCCTGAATATTTATACCGATCACTGGTCGATATCGTATTCTTCTGGCCCTCATTGCTAATTGAACTGTTACCAAACAATCAAACATAATACAACAATGTTAAATCCATTTATACCAGCGGCTATATTAAAACTTGACCGACAGAATTTGTTAATAACTACTAAGATCTAAAAAAACACGACACTGATAACTACTACACGGTGATTAATCAGTGCGTGAAAATATCAAAATTATTAGATTTCATTAACATAAATTTGTAGTCTACTATTGTCCGCAATAGAATTATAATAGGGGTAACACATCGAACATGTATCAAAATAAACGGCGAAACTATAATTTATGGGCAAACCAATCATATATAAGATAACAGGTCTTAGATTTCAGCGCGAAATTCATTAATCCATTTGGCTAAATAACGTTTTGGCATTTTAGCTGATATCAGTTCGTGATTAAAACTCTAAATCTAATTTCTAACCGTAACCATCAACTGTAAATCAAAATTCTAATTCCTCACACTGATTTGTAACCGTCATTTAGTCCTAGTTAGTGGATGGACATTCTCAAAGTCACTTCAACGTCGCTAAAAGATTGTCCGTAAATTATTCATTCATTTAGTCGTTATACCTACCACAACGTGCATCGTATTAAGCTGTTGTATCACAGTAGCATGACTAGGTACATGTGGTTGGGAAGTTGAAGCCAGTCAACAAGATGAAACCCTAAAATAGTTTTATTGTTCATTTGGTTAGTCGTCATTAATGTATAGACTAAAACACATACATATACATTAACTCAAGTCCCCATACTACATTTTGATAAGTCTCCTAGTTGAACGCTAGATTCGGTTCCTAAGCTCTTCTAGAAACCCCCAGGTTAGATCTACACAACAACTTGAACACGAGAGAAAAAGCGGGAGATATAGAAGAAATGCTTTACTCCAAAGGTTCGTTTATGCACGGAAAATCTAGGGTTTTTATAGTATTTTATATGGCCTTGGGTTTCCGGAAAATTCTGGGACGCTACTAAACATAGTAGCAATATAGATAACCATCCAATCAGAAACCCTCCATGTGAATTTTCACTTTCTAGATGTTTCTGGCAAAGCTTCTAGTGAATGCTGATTGGATAAGATGCTTCTCAGTGTTCCCTGAGCCTTTTTTGACTTTTCGAGTTTTCTGGACCTCCCCGACACGTTTGCACAACAATATGAATTCAGTAAAGTGAATGGAAAACAAATCGAAGTAATCGTTGTACAACATCAGAAACTGTTATAACTTGTGGCCTGAGTGCCCTGTTAATATATAACGTAATAATACCACCAATCAGAGAGCAGTGACTTATCGATCGGATCAATGACGCGTAAACCCGTATGAGCAGTCTAGAGTCCTTATTGGTCTCGCTTCCTGTCTAGCCCAGCCAGTTAAGTCCAGAGTCTCTGCGATATGAATCATGTATTTCAAACATACTCGGTTTATATACCAATCAAACAGACCACAACATACCATAAAATAAAAATAACGTTTGCACAAAATTTGGCCAGATGTGGCTGTGATTGTGGAAGGCAGTGACTAATAGACAGGGCATAATTCAAGAATGGTAAAACGTATAATAATGGTTCATAGGTCAAAATAAAGCTTATAATAAGAGGAATATGAATATGAATAGTTTAGTTATTTAACAATTATACGATAAAAATATACTCATAGTATTGGTCCATAAACGGATCCCAAAGTTACTATTCATCATGCTTATCGCGACCTAACAGAAACACTAAATATTGAGAATATACTTTTTAAAGATAATGAGAAGAGATGTCTGAATAGATACTGGCAATCAAAATGTAGAGGAAAATAGACAGTGCGTGGATTTGTGTCGCTTAACATCTCCAACCACAGATGATGGTTATCGGAAGGGCACTAACTAGGTAGTTTGCATCTAACGAATTTAATCTTTGACTTTAATCATAGCAAAACGATTCATTTACGATATATATATATATATATATATATTCATGTGTTTGTAAAATAATCTATATGTTAAAGGTGACATAATCCTAACTATAACTGGTACATTGACGTAATGGTCGGTTTTCTCTGTCGTGACAGACCAATCGAGCTCTATTAACTGGAACACTCGTTCGTTTATATCCTACCATGACAAGCAGGTTGGTTGGATGCGGAACAATAAAACTAAATGCAGCAAAGTAAGGTCTGACAGCCAAGTGTACTTGTGGTATGACAGCAACGTATTTCTATCAGGCAATCACCGACAGTAATGATTCTTTCTCATACCAGATGGAGGTTCGAGAATATTGACCCCAAAACCTTCAAGCTCTACATTACTTCGTGCATTTCGGTCGCCCGGAGTAAGCTATTTAAGGAATGCAGTCAACATGTTTAAAACTACTGACAAAATGCTGTGTGTGATCATCCCGAGGTAGTTATGTTTTGGGTAATGTGGTTACATTCTCAAGTCGTTAATACCATGCCTTAACCACTTTCCTTTTCAGATTTCTCAAAAAGAGGCATATTTTTACGGTATCGGCAACCTACCTTTACTAGCAGTCGAGACTAACTGGCCTCGTTTACTCAAATATATATTACTCTATTGTTTTGTTCTTTAATATTGTGGTTCTGAGTAATTAAATTTTCCAATTTCCACTTTTTTCATTATAGAATAATAATTATACTTGTAAATGCTATCAAAGTGTACACATTTAGTCCATCACCTCAATTAATTTTTGAATCAAATACATGTTCAAATCCTTCAGGATTATGTTATGTCTGTCAAAGTGTTGATAATCCATTGGTTGTATTTCCTGGTAGACGACCTGGTGTTGTATCATTAGTTCATATTGGAAATACTGGTAGTAATGTCAATTTTAGTAACAACGCAAATAATAATAATTCTGGGAATGTTACCAACAATAACAGTAATACCACTACTACTAATAATATTGGAAATACAAATACAATATCCATCAATACTATTTGTCCATCATCAACAAATGCTACTAATATGCCACCAAGACAAATAATTGCACATGAAAATCCACTTGCATCAATCACTTTAAATCGTGATGGTTATCTACTGGCAACAGCATCACAAAAAGGCACATTAATTCGTATATTTTCTACAAAAGATTGTACTTTATTACATGAATTACGACGTGGCACTAGTCAAGCTACAATTACATCATTATCATTTAATAAAGATAGTGATTTATTATGTGTTACCAGTGAACGTGGTACTGCGCACATATTTTGTCTTACAAAAGATTCTTTAACTAATCCTCGTAATATTCAAATTGGTAGTAGTAATAGTATTAGTAGTAGTAATAGTAGTAATACTAGTATTAATCATAACCATAGTCCTCATTTGACAAAATCTTCAGGATTTGGGTACGTCGTTGTTGTTGTTATCTGCTTAATTGTATGTTTTATCGTGCTTTTTCAAGATGATATGTATATATGTGTGTGTTTAAAATTAAGTGTAAAATGAAATCCGATCATGTAGGTGACTCGAGCTATATCCTTTAATGAGATACAAATATATAGCAGTTTGAATCTCATCTGAATGTTTATTATATGCTATGTAGAGAAGGAGAAAGGAAGTATGAAGAGCAACACATATGTGTGGATGTCTGAAATAGAGAAGAACAAGAGAAAAAAAATCGAAAACTCAATCAGCACATAGAATGCAATTACATCTAATTAATGCAAGAAGTCGATAATAGTTAGCATTAGCACGGATGTAATATTGGGACAATCTGATAATCAAAACTAAGAGTTGTTAAAGTAAGATTTTGAATGCCACTACATTAAAGCATTCTATTCATAAAAAAGTCATCTGTATTATATGTGAATATTGATGATGCAAATTAGTTATTCACCTTATTTACTTTAGTATACTGGGAATGTAAATGAGGTGTGGTGTGTGATGATTGACGATATCATGATACTGTTCAAGCAATACGTAGGTAACAGTTGTTCTAACCGAGAGGTGAAGGAGTGGTGTACGTTGACCACTGAATGATTGATTAATCAGTGAGTATTTGTGAATGTCATGTTTGTCTAGTGGTTAGTACTGATTGAATGCCTTAGATGAAGTTGGAATGTGGTGACTTGTGTAAGTGAGTAAACATTGTGTGAACGATGTATGAATATTAGGTTGTTGGATTTAGTTTTTATAATACATGATTTGATTTAGGTTTTATGCTATTCGATACTCGTTAGCAAGGCGTACCCTCAGTCTTGTAGGAATTGATGCTTCCTGTAGGATTTGAATCTGTGTCACCCATTCTCATAGTCTGAGACATTATCACTAAACAATTTATATTTACAACTCTACCCCTTAGTAAATTAATCCATTTCTTAACCAGTGAAATAAACTTGTCCTTCAAGTCACTTCTGATTTCCATCTGTTGATCTTCTCATTAGACTACTTCTGATTGGCTTACCATAACACCTTTCCCTCCTGAAAAATAAGTCTTGCTCCTTGGATTTAACTGAAATCGTTGTGGGATATGTCTTATTCATGATCTTCTTGAATTCTGGCCATCAATTCTTCTTCATTGATCTTGTCGTTCCAAACTAATTGTATCAATTAAATAATCTAGTGGCAAGTGTGAACTAGGGGGTTCTTTATCCGAATCTAGTCACCTATCGTGGATGTGGCTTACATATCGCGTCAGGCATTTACCTCGAACATTAACTTTGTACATTACGTCACCGACTTTTCACACGATGACGCTCGCTATCCACGTAGGCCCCTATTGTCGAAAATTTCTTATATACATGGTAACCCATTAGGAATTGAACGTTCGATTCTCCTCACCGTGGATTTATATTCTCATTTTCTTTGTGGGTACATGCTATCAAATAAAGTCCAAGTCTTCCTTCTGAACGTTGATTCAGCAGGGCAGACACCATTGGATGAGGCTGAATTCGGGGTTATTCTGTATGCTCATTTTAAAAATAGCGCGGTATCCACTGAGCTGTTGAGTTCAAATTTCAATTGGCTTATATCATGAATGAAAAAATAAGAATACCAAAGCAATTCGCTCAGAATGCATACAAACTAACAATGGTTGATCATCTATACTCCCTAATATCAATAACCTGAAGATGTAAACTCATAGTAGGCAAGCAGAAGTTAGCATTATTTCTCAAAAGTTTTTTAGGTTATATGCTCTTCGACAGAGAGATATAGATATTTACTCATGTGTTGTGTTTCTTTTAGAATAAAAAATAAGTTTCTTGGTGTGTCGTTTTTATGCTACTTGAAATTTCTACTTTCAGTTCCGGTAAACTCTCTCTACGTTCTCTATTTTCTACTACAAGCCATGTACGATGTGTGTTGGAAACGAAATTCAAAGCTATATGTGCTTTCAGTTCTGTCAGTCCTGATACTTTAATAGGTAGGTTTCAAAAGTTGACATTTACTAAGTAATGAATAAAGCACTTTAATTTTACCTGTAATGTTTATCCGTAGGTTGTTTTATTTATAACTGATTGATCTCAGTTGGGGTATCAGTGAAAGTCAAAGAGAACTAGACAGATGCTCCATCTTTGTTTGCAGACATTTCAACAGTGGTTATCCATAACCATATCATCAGGAATCAAATTTCTTGACCTTCAGGTCTTGCGGCGAACGCTTAGTTGTTAGAACCATGGGATCAGTGTTCAATCAAACAGTAAAGTTCATACTGTTGCGATTATTCCTATACTAATACGAAATAGCTGTCTTAACGATTCTCCTTAGTTTTCCATGGTATTCCAAATAAGCTCATTATGGGATGAACACAATCTATAAATCTGACCAATCTTCACAAAACCCATTTCAACTAAACTATCATATTCAATCCTTTTATTATTTATCATTGTAAATTCACCAGTAATTAGTTGTAGATGTTTTATGTATTGTTAAGTAATTAGACCACTATTCATCTGTTTGACTAACTGCTTGTATAAACAGTTATTCTGTTTAGAATTTTCCGTGTCTTAAATAAAATAAAAATGTTTTGATCAATTATAAATTATTGAATAGAAAAAAAATTATTCAAACAGTAACATTACTTATCCTACAGGAAGGTGAAATTATCATGCCGACTAAACATATTGTTCCGTCTCAGAAGTTGATTATTTCATTATTATTTCAAGATTTTTCATTCGTTTTTCTTTCTACAAATCTAATAGTAAGTGCACTTGTCACTCTTACGCATATATCGTAGCATATTTAATACACATAACTGACAGAGCTCTAGAAAATTTATCATCGTTGCACGTGTGATTTCTTTATTGTTTTAAATCGATTGGATCAAGTGATGTTAGTTAGTTAGTTACACGATATGGCATAAAAATATTCCGATACTATTAGTGTATAAGTGTTCAGGATCGCGAATTGATTCAAGTTACAAACATAAACCATTACATACCGAATCAATGGTCTGAAGGTTGAACGCTTTTCACGAAACCTGAAGGTTCTGAGTCCGATCCCCGGCTGTGTCGTGATTACACACAACAGCAGAGTCTCATACTAGGACGAAACAGCTGTTCTGCGCTTCCACATTCTTAATAATTATTTAAATAAGTCAAGTCAGTGATGCCAACTATCTCCATAAGCCTGTCACACTAGTTAGTTAGTTAGTTATTGAGTTAGATGTTCTCAGCACTTCCAAATTAGTCTCGTCACCCAATCTTATCAAGCAGGAATGTATCGTTTAGGGCTCTAGACTTTCAATTAATAGGTCCCAGGTTCAAACCAAACTCTCTCTGTTGGTCTAAACAACTTAATACCATCACTATCAGAAATTAAAAAGATTTATGTTCAAGACTTTTACTTAGTGAGTTATACTAGTGAAAGCTTTTCAGTACTGTGGATTTACCACAATTTATAAGTACCACTCCCGTAGTATTTTAAGCTTAACGTTGCTTTGCAACTATGAAAAGATAATAATTAAACATGTAACTGATAATTACTATTTACGGAAAACACAGTTTTACGATATACAGTTGTAATCTGCATAAAATTACAATTGAATTGTTGCAAATCGGCCCTAACCACACGATAAAAGTTGTCCAGTTGCATTATTTAAATTTTATATTCCACGATGAAACTGAATGTAAAACTAAAAATTTCTATCTTACACAAACAACCAATTAATCATCTAAATTATTGGGTTTTATTTAAATTGAATTACTGTCAAATTCTTACTGTTTTTATGATTATTTTAGTATTGTAATTGCAAATCAAACAAATATATTCCTTATTTTATTGTTGTCCTCATATAGTAGTCAAGTTAATTATGATAAAAACAAATAATTATTGTATCCGCCTATTGATTAATCCTCCTTCTATCAGCTGTAGCATTAGTAACTTTCTACTTTTACCAACAAGAATGACCAATGAACAGCGGATGAAACTTTTGGTCATTGAACTCCTTCCAACTCAGTGTCCAAATAAGCACAGAACAGAATTAGTGAATAGATATCTTCTCTCTATTGTACGATTATCATTATGACTCAAAGCGCATATAATAATATGGACCACACATAGATTTAAATAGGGAATTACAGCGTGCTCATAAATACACCATAACTGAGAAAGAAATATAATAATAAAGTCTACAAATAATTAACAATAACTTAGGGAAGGTAAAGCGGTGAGAACATAATTTATGGACGACCGAAGAGAAACACTAAAAGGACCTTGAGAATGCCCACCTACTTACTAGGGTTAAATCAGGGTTATAAACCAATGCAAAGAATTAGAATTATAATTTACAGTTGACGGTTAGTGTTAGGAATTAAATTTAATGTTTTCATCACGAACCGACATTCGCTATGATTCCAAAATGCTATTTAGCCAAATGGATGAATGGATTTTTCGCTAAAATTCAAGACCTGTTATCTTAAATTTAATTGGTTAGTTCACAAACTATAGTCTCACCATAATAATAATAACTAACTAAATAAATAAATAATAAAGGACCTAGGTAGGTGTCTAATAACTATACAATAGAAATTTAAATAACAATCCCTTCGTATGACAATTCTAGTCGTTATGGTTTTCTCTTCATTCACTTCGTTACACCCTTTAGTTGTAATTTGTTCAGTTACTTATCTATTATCATTGGTTTATAAGGTTTTTATCATAAACATATGTGCTACATAGCTTCATCCTGAATGTTAATATCTTCCGAACTATTTCTTCTACATTTAATCCCTTAGTTTATTTGTCTTATCATATTAATTATCGTGTTAGTGGAGTGTTTTACAAATCTTCTTCCCGATAATTAATTCATTTTCAATAATCTCTTTGTTGAATTGTTACGTGGATTATATTTGGTCTCTGATATAGTCGATATGTTAATCTGTTAATCAAAAAGAGTATACTGAACAATTTGTTGTGTATTACTCTATGACTGTGTGACACGGTCCATAGAATTAGATGAAATGCATGGGCTTTATGTGTTTTGGTTCATGGGTATCTTTAAAGTATTGCTGGTGTGTGTTGGAACCAACGATTGAGCAATGTTAAAGTTAAACATAGAGCACTACGCAAAGATGGGTGATCGGTTGATAGGATTGTGAATGTTTATCAATTGAAGTGATTTTAATTTGCGTCGTATATTCCCAACCACCACCTACATCTACAGGGGATGTAAATTGGTGTAGAATTAGGTTGGAAGAAAGCTAAGATTGGCCAAACGAAATATGAGATCGGTTCATGAAGCCATTGATTGTTGGACTAAGCCGTGTAGTTAGGTTCACACTACCTGATCCAGATTCTCTCAGTTATCGTAGCCAACAATTGGAGACGTTGGATAATCTGGCTCGGAATCAGTTACATTGACTCAGATACATTCACTCATCTTCTCTTAGGTTATGAGTCTTAACATTATCTTGAACATTTTCCATAAATTCATTCGTTTTTCTGGAATCATATTGTCCATACTGTTAGCGATTACTTTACTCTTGTATGTGTCCTGATAATTTCAACTCGCAATACTGATATAGTGTGACGGCTTTAATCGATGCACATATGTGACAAGTTCTATGTTACTTATAGTTGACTTACCTGACTCTTCACTTATTTATCTAATCAGTTATAGAGTCATTATATTCTTTCAATTTTAAATGTGTATAATAACTCAGTGGTGAACAAATTGTACTTATTTTAATCAGAGATAGATAATAGCTAGCAGTGGGGTACAAGACGCATTTTTCTTTCTATTTAAGACTTGTCAGCTGGATTAACTTACATCTTAATGTTCACTCCGGGACTCGAACTCAGTGTCGTTCACTTCAGACATCATTGCATTATTGGTCTCTGCTTAAAATAATTGTAACTTAGTGACAATATCAAGGCAATCTATACATGATGGATATATCCCAAAAGAAACTGATTAATTGTAGACCTCAACAACAATGAGAGGATTCAAACAACTAATATAAAAATGAATTGAACTATACTTAGTTAATAAAACTTGGATTATTACTTTTTTTTTCTTATAATTGTAGTAAATCTTTACAAAATGGAAATTTCCCGTTTAAGTAATTGGCTAGTAATAGTATCATTAACTCTTAGATAACTAAAATGTGACATAAAACCAAGAACATAAAAATTTATTTAGTAAATAAGTTAAGTGGATATATAGTTTTTCTTTTGAATAAAATGAATTGTAGTTATCATTGAAAACATAGGTAATGCGTTTATTACACTATTTACTTGTGTAGTTGTAATGAACGAGAACTCACGTGAGGAAAACCAATTTATTGTGCAATGCACGATTACAGAGTACTTTTATAAAATATGAAAACCATACATTAAATACATTATTTGCATATCTTCCCTCAATTGTCCTTTAAATGCGTTATGACTCCTGTTGTTATTACAATTTTTCTGTCTTCTTTCTTATTCTCTTTAATTCCATCCTATGTTGACAGGCATTCCGCTCCCGATTGATGCTACATAATACTTGTTTCTGTCAGCATTAGTAGTATACTCCACATTGTTAATTCAAAATGACTTTAATCATTAAAAGGAAAAAATTCAAGATTATACTGGTGAAATTGTCTTGATTAACATCAGATCTAATAACTGTCAGTGCTTAGACCTTTAAATGTAAATTTTAATGTTGTTTTCTAGATCTCGTAAAGAAGAAAATGTCAACACTTAATCAAGCATATGAGACTCTTATTATAATTCTCTCTTTCTCTATGCACTATGCAGAAATTTATTAGTTGATGCATTACGTTTATGTATTCAATCTATCGTATGATTTACAAATGTTCTATAAATTTTTATCTCACGTATTTAATATGCTAGACACCAAAAACCAGTATAATAATTCAACAGTCAGTCAGTCACCTACAACGTAGGAACAGGCACATATATGCATCGATCCAAGTTGCCATACCTCATTAACACAACAAGATGAACACCGGATTTATAATAGTTAAAAGAAAGATTGCATATAAGGAGATAATGCAGGAAGAAAGAATTAGTTCATACAAAGAAAGATACAAAGCAATTTTAATCTCATGGTTTAAGGGAAGACACAAAGTGCATACACTGACAACATTGTGATCGATTCTGAGCCATGTCATCCAGAGTATCCAACCATTAGTTACGATAGTCACGTGGACCCCAACCAAGTAGTCTGCATCTACCAACATAGCTCACACTAGAAGTTAGTGACTTCAAGCACTGATGCCACGTTTTGGTTTGGCCGCCCCTAACTTTCTTCCAATTATCCCCAACACTAGTCAGCATTGCGTGTCGTGGTGATCGGTGTTCAGGCATACGCAACACGTGGCCCAACCATCTCAGTCGATGAAGATTCACAACCTCATCAACTGGTTAACCATCTTCCCTAACACCGTGTGTCTAACCTCACTATTACTCACCCGGTGATCCCAGCAGATGCGAGCAATATTTCTAAACCATCTGTGGTCAACTACTAGTAACTTACGAGTATCTTCTATTGTTAATGGCCATGTTTCTCAGCGGTAAAGTACAACAGAACAAACTGCCGTGCAGTATACTCGTCCCTTAATTGATAGACGGATAGCTCGCCTTCGCCATAGGTGACGTAAGTTGGCAAAGGCCAAACGATCTTTTCGAATCTGTGCAAAGATTTCGCCAGACACTAATCCATTAGAGCTGATCAGACGTCCAAGATAAGTGAAGTTGTCGACTATTGTTGCCAATTATTTCACTCCCTATCTTTAGTTCTGATATTGATGAAGGCCAATCACGAAGCAACAATTTACATTTAGAGGGAAGAAACCCATCCCAAACATCCTGGCATTGTTGCTCAGTGCTACCAAAAGACTGCATTTTATTAGCGTCTTCACCAAACAGGACTATGTCATCTGCGTAATGTAAGCCGATAAGTAGACCCTCTGGAACGAGATCAATACCCGAGAATTCAGTCGATGGGAACATTATTTCCACCAGTAGATCTATGATGAAATTAAACAGAAATGGAGATAGTAGACAGCCTTGTCGGACAGCACTTGAGGTTGCGAAATCAGATGACAGTTCAGCATAAGCTCTGACTCGACTGGCAGTGTTCGTGTAAAGAGCCTTCACAAGGTTTATGTACTTCTGAAGTACACCCCTTCAATGACAGACACTGCCACGGAACCCGTCGGTCTACAGAGTCAAATGCTTCTTTCAAGACAACAAAATCTGTGATTGTCGGTCGCCGACAAGCATGCCTGTGTTTCAAAATCTGGCGAATAGTAAATGTGTGGTCGATGCAGCCACCAGATCTGAAACAAGCCTGCTTTTAAGTCAAGAAAAACCACCATTTCAACATCTTAAACCAATTTAGCGTATGCGATGTTCAAAATCTTAATAGTTGAATTCATGAGTCGATCTAAGCTATACCACCATTGAAAACCTGGAAGCACTGGACATCTGTTTCGTTCTATTATGGTCCTCCTTCCGTATTCGGTACTCGAATTCAAATTACTGCAATCTCCACAAATCCCCATTTTGATAAGGTTCCAAATCTGATCTATAGAGTGTACTAATCAACCAAATAAATGTTGACTTGTTACAATTATTCTTCATTCTATGGCTTATTGTCATTATCCATCTCGAGTGCATTCTTGTCGTTTTTTATACTACATTGCAAACTATAGCGTAGTCACAATTAGTTTGAGTTCTGATTCATATCTGATAACGTTGCACGATCTTTAAGAACAAACAGTGGATCTACCAAGTTATAAATCATTTCCATTCGGTGCATTTGCCTGCTACTTCGTTGAAATTCTCACGATAACCGTTATTAGCGATTTGAGACATTAGATTACATGGCTTGAAATCAGTTACAATGCCTGAGGTTTATTCACTCTTTATTTTCATCCATATCTTAAGTACTGCTATTCTTTCATACATACCTTTCCATCCTATCTTTTTAAAGCGTATTCTGAGATAAGATGATTGTTGGGAGTAGTCAACAGGAAACCCTGGGCCCGGGTTTCGTGCTATTTGGCACTCATCAGCATGGTGTACCTGTAGTCCTAAGGGAACTGATGCTCCCTGATGGCTTCGGTCCCGTATCACCCAGCTTCGCAGTCAGAGATGTCACCACTGGGCTATCCGGGCCGCGACTGACCCACAGGACTGAGATGTATTCACAATTGATAGATCACTGGGTGGTAATCGATGTGATGTCCTCCTTCAACATAGTGCACTCATGTCGAGTCACCTAAACTAGTGGCCACATTGCAATTTGGTCGATAGCGTTCGATCTGCACTAAGAAGGACCTGATACATAACACTGATCACCACCAAGTGATCAATCAATTTTGTAAGCGTATTCTTTTGATTGTTCATTCTCATTTTCATTGTTTCTATTATATTTCAATCTGCTTTACTATTCATCTTATTAATTTCATCTCGTCGTGGTAATGTGGTGTGGCAACTTGAGCTAATGCTCATATTTGAAAGGCTGCAACCCACTAAATTTAATGTTTTAAAATGATGTTATTTATCCAATGGTAATTTTTACTACTAACATCATTCACTTTACCGAATTTCAACACTGCTTACACAGTATGAGTGACTCTTTGAATACAACAATGCTTAAACTAAGGATTCATTCCTTAACTCGAAGATGATGTTTTACATTTGTAGCGCAAAAATTGATTACTCGTACCGTACCTTTGCACACTCGACCTTTCATAACCATCGGACCAATAGTGTGATGGTTTGTCAAAGTGCCATTTGTCTCTCTGGCTTTCACTTCAATAAAATCGACCTTAACTGCTACACCTTTACGCATCTCATGCTTTTCATTTAGATTTTCATTGACTTTTACAAAATATTATTTCCGTCGTTCCGTCTCTGTAATTTATGCTAATCATTTCCTAAATTTCAGTTATCTAGAAAATCAGGGACCTGTCCTGTATATGTATCGCGTAGAGCAGTGGAGCGTTCAGTGATTAAAGCATTTGGTTTCCACCCACCATGTCACAAGTTTGAATCCAGCTCTATTCACTTCGATTAGGACAACTATATAGTATCACCAGCCCCCCATACCTAGAGTGTAGTTTGAAGCTAATTACACAAATTTGTACTTAGTAAATAAGTGTCAGTTCATGTCACCCTACTTCTAACGCTAGCAAAATCTTAGCAGCAAAGGAAAGACAAGTTAAGAGGTATAAAATATACTACTTGAAAAGAATAAATAAGTTCAAAAAAGTCCAGAGTATTGGAATATGTTTGGAGATTTAGTTAGAGATGAAGAATGAATGCCACTGCAGCAATGCAATTAATTTTGAACTTAATTCGTCATAATTTTATGTAAATTTATGTAATTTTTATTCTAAACAGTACAATGATATACCTTATAGACATGATCTCTCATAAATATATTTGAATGAATGAAACAAAATGCTAACCTAACCACTAGTCACATGACTACCAATCAACAGATCACTTTTCTGCTTATTGATTGATCACGGAATAGTAGTGACCAATCAATGTTAACACGTCAGTTCTACCGTCGTACAGTTGTGTTTCGAATAATTCAGTTGAATTGTCTCGAAACTAGGGAGTTGATGATCCCACTAGAAATATCAGTCCCCTCTAAACTGTATCTACACACTATTGATACGATTTCCAACTAATAAATACTTAAGTCGAGTGGAAATTTCTTATCCGACTATCTTCAACCATTAAACACATTACTTTTTATGTATTGATCACTAAATCTTTTTTCATTGTTATACCATTATTATTTCTGTTTCTAACTTGGTTTTGTTTCCCCTTCATCGCTTCTCTTTCTTCCTCCTTTCTAAATAGTTTTATCCGCAGATGGGTCTTACTACAAGTACACATTCACAGCAAATGGTACGGTAACCCGTGTAACATTTGTAAACTTTCTAGATTTCTACGATGATGAAACAGATTTCTAATTTTGTTAATGTATCTATTTTCTTGGTAATTTAAATACTAATTAATTGTGTTTTTGATAGCTTATCCTATCGGTTCTCTTTCAATTAATGTTTTGCATAGATTGAATAAATTTAATTCTTCTGTGGCTGCTGCTGATTACTAGTATTACACCTCTCTCTCTCTCTCTGCATATATATTTGTGTGTGTTTTTTTGTGTATGTGATTATTTATCCAGTTTTTTTTTTACTTTTCATTCTACGTTTATGATAATTCAATGATTTGTTTGTTTATTTTTTCTCCAATTCTACTTTGTAATTGGACATTGTGTGGTTTTTGTGGGGGGTTTTTTTGTCTTTCTGCGCTTTCTTCATCATGATATATTATACATTTGTAAACTCTGTTTCATACAATGAGAATTTATGAAAACGGGTAGGAATGTGTATTATTATGAATGAAAGTAGTAGAGATGTAAAACAGTGATTATTGATTATCTTGTTTTTCTACGATTTTCAGTTATGTGAAATATATATATGTTTTAAGTAATACTAAGCTTTTCTTTAGTGGTTAGAAAATGAATGTTAATAGCCACGTACTTCTCTGTGTAATGTTGTCCAACGGCAAAACGTTGTGAGAGAGCTAGGAGTGGTCAAACTAAGATGAGATCAAATCATTTAATCATCAATTTGAAACTAGCAAGCTTCGTGATCAAGGTTTACTTGATATGGTCATAATCAATGGTTTAAAAAACCGTGAGTGATGTTGGGATACATATACATCGAATCTTCATCGTTTATCAAAATCTCTAAAACTGAATAGAATTTGTAACTATGTCAGATGCAATAGAAGCGATTAATACAATTTGTGTAAACATAAATTGACTACATGAAGAAAAGTTTTGTTAGTAAGCTCAATTAGAACAATGTTTACACCTTTAATATCTCCATAATTTCATTTGTGAATTGTGATATAATCATTGACGTAAGCAATTTCTCAGACATGGGAAGACAAAACATTTTTTTAAAATGTATCACACATTTACAATAATGGTGTTCTATTCTGTTTGGTACTTATTGACTTTTTGTACCTATATTCGTAGTGTTGTTCGCATTGAGGTCCGAACACAGCAATTATTATTATAACCAGAATATCGATCTATTTTCTCAAAGTAAACTGGCAAATGTTCATGAATTTGAAGATGACTTTGTAATAGGTCAATCGATTGCAGTTAGATCACATTTTCTCTGAAGCCGAGATGGAAGTAAGAAATACAGGCGTTGGTAGATTATTGCAAATAAGCAAATTATTTTCCTAACGACAGTCTTTATCCACTTATCCTTATATATATATATATATATATATATATATATATATATATATATATATATATATATATATATATATATATATATATATATATATATATATAATTCTTATTGCTCCGTTGTACTATGTAAACTTGGATTAGTTTTAATTTGGTTGTTCATTCTCTGAAGAAGTGACTTACACTAAGTCACGAAACGTCAGAAAATCTAATTTTTCTACTCATTGGGATATTACAAATATATTAGTAATTCTTGGTAAGGTCTTGTGAATAGAAGCTTGGCCGCTAACTTATCCTCGAACTCACGATTAATCATAGACAAAGACTTGAGGATAGGTTGCCTATAGGAGTGCAGCTTAAAATAGCCCAGGATAAATTGTGCGAATCAGAGTTAGTCATTGCTCAAAGCTTAAGACACTAGACTTTAATGAGAAGAGCAGACACAAGGTGGAAAAATTATAATCTGAACTCTGATTGGGGAATTAGGCATGTGATGTTGATTAACGTTTCACAAGACGTAACAGTTATCATGCATTATCACAGCTTATCTGCACTCTTCAAGGAGTGTATCCTCCCTATGGAATTGGTATTCATGTCAACTTAAAGAGAAAATCATCTACTGATAATTCAATTAGCACATAGAATGCAATTACATCTAATTAATGCAAGAAGTCGATAATAGTTAGCATTAGCACGGATGTGATATTGGGACAATCTGATAATCAAAACTAAGAGTTGTTAAAGTAAGATTTTGAATGCCACTACATTAAAGCATTCTATTCATAAAAAAGTCATCTGTATTATATGTGAATATTGATGATGCAAATTAGTTATTCACCTTATTTACTTTAGTATACTGGGAATGTAAATGAGGTGTGGTGTGTGATGATTGACGATATCATGATACTGTTCAAGCAATACGTAGGTAACAGTTGTTCTAACCGAGAGGTGAAGGAGTGGTGTACGTTGACCACTGAATGATTGATTAATCAGTGAGTATTTGTGAATGTCATGTTTGTCTAGTGGTTAGTACTGATTGAATGCCTTTTATTTATCTATTTATTTTTAACACATAGGCATTTGTACAAGGAGGCAACAAATACATATGCGCCACACAAATCTCAATTGATTTGTGTGAGGGCTGTGATACTGCTCGGGTGCCCAAACCGAAGCAGGTAGTTTTCTTAGGGGGCCACACCCCGAGCCTTCGACCTGAACGTCTGATCCACAAGGCAGTGGAGCATCGTACGGAGATGCAGTCCCATGGAAACCGGTGACCAACGATTGGTTCATACGCCATTTGTTCCTTCAGGATACTGGAGCCCATGTGCACGATTGGTTTGAGATCCGGTTAAAGCGCCGGACATTCGCTTTTCGTCCTCTCATTTTCGTAAACAACAGTAATGCCACGAGAAGGCAGTGATTAGGACTTCCCTGGCAGAGGCTGTATACGCGTGGCCATGTGAGAGCATTTCGAGAGGGAGAGAGGACTCTCCCCACTCTCGACCGTACCAGGGCATTTGGGGGCGATTGAATGCCTTAGATGAAGTTGGAATGTGGTGACTTGTGTAAGTGAGTAAACATTGTGTGAACGATGTATGAATATTAGGTTGTTGGATTTAGTTTTTATAATACATGATTTGATCTATGTTTCATGCTATTCGATACTCGTTAGGAAGGGATGTTTAGTCATTTAGATTATTGGCCATAATGTAATTTGACTGATAAAAATTAATCTACACTAATAAGTTAGCAAACATGAAATTGGTCACTACTAAGTGGTCAATTAATGTGAAATGCCACTTTATCGATCATTGCAGTTCCAAATGATTTAATTAAATATTACTAAACGTAGTTATAATATAGTGAAAAGTTACCACAGATAAATATTTATCTTAGCACTTTTTGTAAATTAAAACAGTCAAAATTGTGGTTAATTCAACATTTATAAGAAAAGTGTTTTTGCAGAAACAATTCCAGCTTGATCAATATTGTCATTTTGTGTAGAATAACATAGAGAATTCAATAAAATTCATTCAAAAAATACTGTGTGAATAATATAATATTTTTATATCAGTTAACGATTCTGATATTTTGTCGAACAAATAATCGATGGTTGAGGAATCGTTCAACATTTAGCAACTGTAATGACTTGACAGAACACTGGTTCTGCTACATGTTCTCTGAACTGCGGATATGATTGTTTACTTGCTACTGTATAAGGGTACAAACACTGATATTGTTTGATTTAAAAGAAGAAAGGTAAGACCTATGATGAAGTGTCTATTGTACGCCAAACACAGTTGATCAAAACAATATTTAAAGTTATTATGATGTGTATGTCATTCAAATATCGAGTCAACAATCATATCTGAAATCATCGGACTGGTGGTAAGTTACATTGCATTAATCAATAATTTAATATATGTGTGCACATCTTACAGTATAAATAAATCAACTGTTTTAAATAATCAATATAACTAAATTACTGAATAACATAATTGCACCTTCGTGATAGTAACGCGGTATGACTATTCGATTTAAGTTCAAGACTGGACACTATTGTTCATTTTTGATTTCTTACGGAGTAAACCGTACGACTTTTAATTTTGAAACTGAACCCGACTTAATCATATTTTATACCCTTAAACTTTTCGTAATTCATTGAAATGTGTCATGAATGATGTTGTTCAGTGTAGCAGTTAAACAATATTACTCTAAGATTAATCCAGATAGCTATTATCCACGTGACTGTTCTGTTTAATGTAATATTGAACACTCTAGCAAATTATTTGTTCAATGGTGTTGAGATAATGATTTGCACACTACTAACAATGACATAGGAGGTTACATGTCAAAGTATGGATCAGGCATATTTTAACTCTCGCAACTAGTAAACTGTATACGACATATTATTAATTATTCAGTGATAAGTTTGACAATTATAATACTTTATTCAAAATATGACATTATTCAATATAAAATTAAAATGCAGTGAATAAATGTTTTAGTTATTGTACACCTCAAGTATTTGATTAACATTTGTATTTGTTTGTAGTAAATTCTTATAATAGACAATTCTGTTGATATTTCGGATTGATGCTTCTTCTGCAGTTCTCGTTGTTATATTTCGTCTGCGTCTAATCGCTCTTTATAGAATAGATTGAATGTGGCTAGCATTGGAATCCAAGATGAGCGTTGCGTCCTCTTTGGGGCTTGTTAGCTTCAACCACAAGGTTCAATAATCATACTGATAACGTTAATACTCAGTAATTAAGTGAATAACGTCTTGGGCATTTTTTGCATAACGTAGTGGTCCCGAATCCAGGAGTGGAGACTAATCTTGAAGTACAGGTATATCCGTCCGACGTAACCCCAAATGGGTAGAAAACGCATCCTATATTCCGTTTCTAGCCATATTCTATCCGTGCTATGGGAAATCACCGCATAATAGCTATATTGAAACAATTCGCGCAAGGTGGACAATGTCAACTAAGACTGATCATATACATAGTTCCCTTTATTATCTTAAAGAGAGCACGAACGAAGATTGGTGCGCTAATCTTTGCTCTTGCTCTCTTTAAGACTGATCAAAATTAATTCCAGAATGAATATAAGCATCATGTCCACTGAACACGTTAACGGTCATCTAAACTCAGTAACTCATTGAATGACGTGCTTGTGTTTAGAAAGAACGTTACTGGGTTCAAATCCCATTGTGAATATCAGCGGGGATTCAAGTACATGAATGAAAAATGTGTTAGATGATCAAGTTTAACAAATAGTGCTCCAGGGTTTAGTTTAGATCAACTCATGAATCCAACTATTAAAATTACTAAAATCTCCACAAATACCCACACTGAAAATGGAAAGATCCCTGAATCTGGACTTCAACTTTATCAGCATTCATCGACATGGTGTTTTGGAAAACCAATAGTTTCTGTGGCATTTTAACCTGTGTCATCCATTCAGTAGAACAATTACTGTGGTGTATGTTGCTCATATTGCCGGGTGTAAGTAGTATGTAACACCAGTCAGAAGTGAAATGTCTTTCAAAAGAAGAGTGAACTGAATAAAACACAAAGGGTTTAGTGGCCTTATATCTGACTCCAATTGGATCGTATTATTGATCGTTATCGAATGATTGCTATTGAAATATACATGTCAATCCTCGTATGTAATCATCGACGTAAATCACGTTGGTGAATAACGGGATTAAATAAGTCAAATACGGAAATGGATTTTTGAATACGTACATTTCGTACGATCGTTGATGATCGGAAAGCAAAGCAACACAACGCAGAAGGCATGTAAGCCAACTCGATTTAACCAGGCGTGGATCGATATTTATAGTCGAACAAAAATAAGTTACAAACATGTGATGAGTAAGATAAGAAATGCACACACATACGATCATATAAAACCAGTCAAAGTTGATGGGCGAATAAGTGACAGGGTAAAAATGTGGCTTGAGAAGAACGAGTAGATTGATCTGTCCAGAATTACCTATGTGAGCTCGATATAGTACCGCCTCTACAAGGAAAACAGAAAGGTAGTGAGCATTGGGAGAAATATGAAAGATGTAAAGGAAAACTGATAGAAGATGTGCAAATAAAGTATTTAATGTATGGTTTTCATAATTTACCAAAACG